GTGACAACTTCAGTGTCAACTTTGTTAAAATTATTAGATAGATAGAAAGATAGATACTTTATTGATCCTATGAGATAAAATGCAGAGCAACAGCAGCTTAACACATTTAACACACCACAGTGTAACGAATGATACAATACATACAATACAATCAGTACAGCGAGAAGTGCACTAAGAAGAGTTAGCATATACTGTATTGGAGCACTCTGCTTAGCTGATCAGCACAAGCCCTCAGAACTCTGGGACAGACGTTATCTGGTCCTGTGGCCTTACCGTGGTGCAGCCTCTTCAGCTCCCTCTTCACCTGGTCAGCCGTGATGGTCAGTCTGGCCTGAGGGATGGTGCTCATAGGTGCTGCAGGTGTTAATGGCGGAGGTGTTGGAGAGTGGCAGCTGTGGGGGCTTAGGGAGCGTTACACATTATAACGCAATTGCGCATTATTTGTGAAATTCCTTCTATTACCTGGGGCATGTCATGTAGTCAACATTTTTCTTTGTAAATACCTGGGCAAAATATTAATATAGAACATTTACTGTATTTTAATTTAAGTTTTAATTCCATATGATCTTGAAAAATATTTACAATTTCTAGTTCTTTAAAATACATAGTATTGAAATGTTGTAGTGGGTGGCATAGTGATGAAATGGTTAAGATTGCTGCTTGTGGGTAGGCCATTGGTTCAGTTCTGGGGCATGTAGATACCCTGGGTCTAGAGTGGCTGAGGCCAGAGGTGGAAGACCCTTTTTATTCCTCAGGGGAGATAAGGGCTGGAACTGCTTGTTTCATCCCAAGCAGGTGTCTAAAACTGTGAGCACAGACACTTTTGGATCAGATTTCCTTTACACTCTCAAACATTCAACTGCAGTTCTAAGTTCATTTGCGCTTGTCTTTGATTTTAATGTTTAAGGGCAGTAAAGTTTGGTTCTCTGGTTACTGGTGTGTTCTAGTCTTTAATAACATCATGCTAAAATATTTAAAAGGACCTTAATAAAAGAACAAGTAAAGGTATATTCCATGCTGAAAAGAGAAAAAAAGAAACACAATGTTTCAGCTGTGGAGACTTCTTCGGGTGTGTTCCTTGTTCCTTTGCAGCCTACGCATGCTACTGCTACCTACTTGAATTAATAAAAGAAGTAAAATGTAAAATAAATCTAAATTAATGGAATGTCAGTACAAAGCACTTGAATCTTAAGTCACTGTTACATCCCAGTGTGTGGTCCATGTGTGTTTTTGTTACTATGTTCCACACTTTCCGACTTTGATTGTTCTCCCTCCACCATTGGTCCATCATTACACCATTGTTTCCGTATTACATCATCATGAATCAGTTCATCAGCCAATCAGAACTCAGTTTATTCAATATACTGGTGGTTTTCAGATTGAAGGGGCCTTTCATTTGACTTTGGTCCCGCTCGGTTCAGGTTCAGGTTCAGGTTCGCTTTTGGTTTTGCTTCGGCTTTGTTTCGCTTCGTGTGTGTGTTTTCGTATAGCTTTGGCTTTGTTGGTTTGTTGGGTTGTTCGTCTCCTCGTACTTTCATTTGTGTGTTTATCCTTATTTAGCCATTACCTTGCTCAAACTTGTTATATGTTATATGTTCAACCTCTGTGTTCTTTTGTACCCTGTTACTTATGTCAACTTTCATTTTCCCTTATTGCTATTCATAGTTCACTTGTGTATTTGTGTGAACTTTGGTGTAAAGGGTTAGTTTGGGTTGTTGGTTACATTTTACACACATAGTTGATTTTTGTATTAGTAACACTAGTTTAGGACGGGTGAGTGCCTTCTGTCTTATATGGTTTTGGGTAGTCAGTGGAGGTTAGCTAGGGTGATTGTAGACTCCGAAGACCGAGTGTTTCGGGTTTTCTTTTGTAGTTAGGTCACCTTCCCCTCACTTTATTAGCCAGCTACATTTTGTTTGTTATTTTATTTTCTTTGGCACAGCTCTAGTTCCTTTTCCCTGTGTGTTATTGTGTCCCATTTATGTACCAGTCACTTATTCACCTTAAAATAGTCACTTTTGCACCAACCCTCGTTGTCATGCTTCCTAAGTACCTCACCAGAACCCACCTGCATCCAGAAATGATCCTAGTTACACCCTTTCACCCCTAGACACGTGGGGTCGTAACAGTCACCTTATATCGGCAGTCTTTATAACTTCATCTGGGCAGAATATTGTTCAACAAATTTGAGAAATTTGGCATTCATTTGATGAAGAAAATAAAAAAGTAAAATTAGTAGGACATGGGTGCTGACATGGGGGTGTGTTTTGATTGGTGAAAAATATTCCATAAAATGAAACCATCACAATAGTAGATGTTATGATTATATTTATCTACTAACATTAGATGTTTAAGTTATAAGTTATAATTGTATTGTGAAATCTACAGTTTAAATAAAACAAAATGTTGCTTTACTATTAATAGGCTGGGCAAACGATTTTTAA